ATGTTTTTGAGGAGTCAGATATGTTGCCACAATCACATGCAGCCGAACGACAAGAAGCGGAGAAAGCCCTTGGTCGCCAGCCCACTATTGAGAAATTTCCGCGGCGCCATGCAGGTGCTCCAATACTTAACTCTGGCACTACCGCTTTCGAGTCTTATAACAATGCTCTGCAAGGCGCAGACAATGTTTGGGCTCCCTTCGCATCTCGCATAGACTACGAGGTTGCAAAGTGGGCAAAACTTCGTGGATCGGGCTCAACTGCTTTTTCAGAGCTGCTTGCAGTCGAAGGGGTGAGTCTTCATTTTCTTGGGTCATGAATGGGCCAACTTTTTAACTACGTTTCTATAGCTTCATGATGCCTTAGGTCTTTCGTATCGAAACACCCGTGAACTCAATCAAATCATTGACCGACACTTACCATGCCGACGACCTCGTTTCAAACGTGAAGAAATCATTGTTGCAGACGAAGCATTTGACGTGTACTCGCGTGACGTCATGGAGTGCGTCAAAGCCCTTTATTCAGATCCGGATTTCTCGCAACACCTCAACTACACTCCCGAACGCCATTATGTCGATGCTGACAAAACAATCCGAATGTATCATGATATGCATACAGGAAAGTGGTGGTGGTCCACGCAGGCGAGTCTTTTGAAAAACGTTCTGATTCATATTGAACTTACCACAATATCATTTAGAAAGAACTCGAAGCAGAGAAACCTGGCGCAACAGTCATACCCATCATCCTTTCCTCCGACAAGACGCAGGTCACCATGTTTAGGAACAAATCTGCCTATCCTGTCTATATGACAATAGGCAACATTCTGAAGGAGATCCGTCGAAAGCCATCTCGACGGGCGTGGATTCTCCTGGCCTATCTACCAACCTCAAAACTCGAACATATCACAAACAAGGCTGCGAGGCGCCGAACGGCCACAAATTTATTTCATGCTTGTGTGCGTCACATTCTGGAGCCTCTGAGAGTCCCCGGCAAGGATGGTGTTGCTATGGCTAGTGGGGATGGAGTTGTGCGTCGAGGACATCCGATTGTCGCATGTTATTCCGCCGATTACCCGGAACAGTTGTTGACAACTGGGATAAAATCTGGAGAATGCCCAAAATGCGATGTCCCGCATGAGGAGTTGGGAAGTCCTGATGTTCCTGTCAAGCTGCGAGACCTCGAGGCAATTGTCGCTGCATTGTCGCTCGTTGATGAGGACTATGACTTGTGGAGACAAGCATGCCAGGAGCGCGGCATTAAGCCCATCTACAAACCATTCTGGCTGGATCTCCCGCATGCTAATATATTCCAATCCATCACGCCGGACGTGTTACATCAACTCTACCAGGGTATTGTAAAGCACCTCATCGAGTGGATCAAGGAGGCATATAGCGAAGCCGAAATTGATGCTCGTTGTCGTAGACTTCCCCCAAACCATAATATCCGATTGTTTCTCAAGGGTATCAGTAATCTCTCGCGTGTTAGTGGAACGGAGCACAATCAAATCTGTCGCTTCCTGCTCGGCATTGTCATTGGCATACGGTTGCCTGGAAATCTCAACAATGCTCGCCTTACTCGTGCTGTTCGTGCCATCCTTGATTTCCTGTACCTTGCGCAATACCCTTGTCATACGGACGAAACACTGGCACTTCTCGATGATGCCTTAACACGCTTTCACGACAATAAGGACATCTTCCTTGATCTTGGAATCCGCTCGAATTTCAACCTTCCGAAGCTTCACGGCTTCCGTCACTATGTACATATGATAAAAACGTATGGTACAACTGACAACTACAACACCGAGTACACAGAACGTTTACACATCGACCTCACGAAGGATGCCTATAGGGCTACCAACCATAAAGACGAGTACACTCAAATGACACTCTGGCTCGAAAGACGGGAGAAGATTCTATGGCACGACAACTTTGTCCAATGGCGTCTCGTTGGTGATATTGCCCCGCAAGAAATCATACCTCCAGACATGGATTATCGTCGCGCAATCAAGATGACTAAACACCCGACCATCAAGCGTGTCCAGTTGGACCGCATTGTGCGGGAGTATGGCGCCACATTTTTCACTGAAGCTTTGGCTCGTTACGTCGTCGGGAGAAATCAACCTGGTTTGTCTGCAGCACAACTCGAACGCGAGGCCGCTCACATCATTATTCCCTTTGATACTGTGGCTACGTTCCACAGGATCAAATTCAACTCAATCAATGCTCGGGGGATCCAGGACTCGAGTGTCACCGTGGATTCTGTCCATTGTCAACCATCACAAGAGGACAAGCGAGGGCATATGATCCCCGCGCGTTTTGACACAGTTTTGGTCAACGAAGGGGACGGCGGGACAACAGGCGTGGATGGTGCGTTTTGTATGGTGCATTGAACATGTTAGTCACTAATCTCACTCGATCACTGAAGGTTACCGTGTTGCGCAAGTCCGTGTCGTCTTTACGCTAACAAATCAAGCTTCGAATGTGTTATTCCGCGCTGGACCTGCACAACCACCCACCCACCTTGCCTATGTGGAATGGTTCACTCCATTCCAGCAACCGGAATCACACCATGGGTTGTACAAAGTTGCCCGCTTGATTCGTCATGGAGAACGTCTGGCAAGCATCATTGAGATATCAGATATCTGTAGGAGCATTCATCTTATACCTAATTTCGGCGTAGCGGCACCTCGTGAGTGGACGAGTAGCACTGTTCTGGAGTGCTGTTCCACCTTCTTTGTAAACCCCTTCAGTGACCGACATGCTTATTTAACACTTGTCTGAGCATTACAATGAAATTTGTTGAAATACCTTTGAATACAAATAATTTACCGAATTCTCAGTATTTTCATGCGAGTTTGTGAAATTACCTTGATTTTGTGAAGGAGGTTTTCCCTGATGCATATGTTTTGGAAGTATGACCGAATTTCAACAGCGTTTAAATTCAAGTTCTGACGAAAAATATATAGAGTAGATAGTGCAGAACGTGCACGAGCAGAAGTGCTTTAGGGGACAAGTGTGCGACGTGAAAACGGATCACGTCAGTTAGACACTTAAATATCCAGATGAAAAGGGGCCTGTAAGAATGACGCTGAGTCATGAGGCTTACCAGCATCGTGAATCGATTCAACTTGGTTCAACAAGTTTAACCCCGAATTCGAAGGGCAGTTTGGATTGAGCACAATAATGCCTCCTACCTGTAATCTACAGCAAGAAGAGGCGGAACACATTCAAGCGGCTCCTGCCAGTGCAGGAGATCGCCACGCACTCTTTCATCCTTGTCTGAAAATCAAAATCATATTCGCGCACAGGTCTACGCTACAGCCTGCGACACACCGTACCTGCAGGTCTGGCATTGAAATTTTATGACCAGCTTAAATAGCTGAGAACTCCTGGTTTCGCGGACTGTAGACCTGTATTTCATTCCGTGTCACAGAAGTCGGACGAAGGCGTGGTCTAGCCCAGGGTCCATCATGCATCACATATCGAATCAAGACAGACAGACTTCACTCAGCACTGCCTGCATGTCACCACTCAAGAGGTCCTTATTCAGTATTTGCGGGCAATTTAAAAGCCCATTCAACAAAGTTCTTGTACCGAGCCCGAATCCCTGATGGACGAGCCCCAGAATCACACGACGCACTTCATAGTTAGAGCACGGGATGACTAGCTCTCGTTTTCAGCCTTTCGATATGATCACAAAGGTACGATGGTCATATCAAGGAGACTCCACCATATTTGGGGGGTGAAAAAAACGCGAGAAGTTACTCTGCGCGAACCCACGGAGACCTCGAATTTCCTGTATATAGTTCCGTCTCCGACGGGAGTGACCAATCTGACAGATATTCATGGTCTCGGATAGCCGTTCCAATGGGCCCAGATGGACACTCTGACAAGGTTCGCCTGTAGAAAAAGAAAAGTGCCTCACTCACTAGCATTGTGGTCGCTCTTCTTGAACAGCCTTTCGGTTCATCTTGCTGGCGCAGCGGCGTGTCGGAGAATATCTACAAGAGGATCACGTTGGACCATGACATCATTGCACAAGTCAGAGATATAACTTCCGTTGACACGTAGATGTCGCGACCATGGACATACTATAGATCCGTGTCATCTCCGTTGCAAAATTCACCTGCTGCAGAAAACGAGACTTCATTTCCAACGATCCTCATCTGTCCCTTGATTAGGGGCAAGGGCCGACGGAATATCCGAAGCTGAATGTTTATTGTGGGTTTCTGTTGTCACGAAAATGTACTTACTCTCTTGAAGCATTCGTAGCGCAACGAGATCAAGTTGTCTATGCGAGCAATGTGTCTTGGGACGAAAGACGAGCACAGTCACTTGCAGTGATGGCGGAGAGCAACCATCGATCCAGTTTTCTAACAAGCATCTTCCTCATATCGGATCTGGCCAATCCTTCCAAGACAAATTCAAATGCTCTCATGATCACGAATCTCACCACGGTCAAGGATAGCCTGCCTCTCAGTTGGCTGTCAGGCTCTCGCAACCCAACGTTGCATGAGAATTGGGCTTAGGTTAACCGTCCATACGTTGATCTATTTTCAAACAATTGAATCTTCTTCAACCATACCATACCCTGCAGCGCCCAAAGCTAACTGTCTTCTCGTTGATAAGGAATGCTGCTACCTGCTCATCAGTCGTCGGTTTCATCAGCCGCAGCCTACCAAAAAGCCCTATTTCGCTGCCGTCCATGGTGATGAGCAAGACTCGAGCAGGGTTTGTTCGGCCTGTGTCATGCTAAGTCCATCGTGAGTCATAGGAATGCTGCATCTAAATATCATGAGAAAAGTATGGAGTGTATAGTCAGTATCATGGTTGTGCGCCTCGATATCAACAGCGGTGATTTCCGATCATACCTCGTTCCTGCGGACCCAGTGCGGATGCAGAAGTTACTACAACGTCAACGGGCCATGATGTCATCAGAACCCTAGGGGGAAAGAACGCATCAATCTCCACGTTACCAAACACATCTGATCATAAAATACTCATATCCGATTGTACATGAACATACAACGTCATCCTGGATCATTCAATTTATCCTCCATTGAACGAGTTATGTAGGGTGCGATTATTCGAGCGGTTGGTAGGATTGCGACATGCGTGCGTGCGATATTGACGTTGTACACGGTGAGGCATAATCATGCATTACTTTCGGCATGTAAGGCAGTCATTGGTATCATTTGTGATACGCGCTGAGTGCGAGGAAGGGATATATACGAGGTGAATAAATAGTCGTGTTCTTCATCTTGACCTGTATTCCTCAGATCTCTTAGATCAAAAAGAACACGCGAAGCCAAGACACCATGCAAGACACCTTGGAACCTGGTCCAGAAAATTTGTCAGCTATACTCCGGTTACAATGTGCATCCCCTTACACATATACAATTCCACCCTGCCCCCGCGATGAGGTCTGCACCAGGAATTCATATATTACCCTGGCGTGGTGCATGGAAATCACGTACCGGCAATGAAAAAGAAACTATGTTTATAATAGAAATTGCTTGAAACACAGTCAAGTGGGACATAAAACGAGTCATAAACCGGATGACGTACCAAGAAGCGACAGTGCATATAGCAAACTTCCCTTCAACAAGGTTGACGCCACTCTACTGATGGAGCGTATACCATCAGAGCGTAGTCGTATTGAATGACACATTGTAAGAGTGATGACTACTGAATATGACTCATCAGTAGAGCTTACTCGAGGCAGCGTCTTGAATTGCTCACTGAGTTCAAACAGTGCTGCGCTAACAAACTTGCCCGTTATCAGACGTTCCACCTTCGTAAACCTTAAAGCGATCGGAGTCGATGTGGACACACATACACTTTCGAGCAGAAACCACACAAGTGTATCGCAAATGGCCATGGCGACAACAATAAGCTTCAAGCTCGGTTAGATTACCACTTGGAATAACAAAACAGTCAAAGCATTTACCAAGTAGCTCGCCAATAAAAATAGCTTTATCTTCCTGCTGTTATGCCATAAGGCAAGTATACGCACGAGAAGCAGACCTGAAACATGAGATTTTTTTTCTTTGTCGATGCCAACAAACTAACCTTCTGCGGCGGACATGATAAGAAAGAGTGACGCTACGATGTATTAGCTGACGTTGAACCAGTGACCACGAGACCTACCCCCACTAGTTCGATATAGTGTCACGCACTGTATTGCTTGGCATTAACATCATTACGTTGAATAAAGTTCAGAGAAAGTTCATACCATTCCTGCTGAATGTGGGCTAAGAGTGACTGGCAGACCGCTGTCCCTGAGAACCTTTCCCCAACAACGAAGTGCATGACTCACGATATATTTCGGTGATGATCCATAATACGGGAGCATATCTAGCTAGGATGAACATGACAGTGACAATATTCCAGCAGCTCATGTTGCTGAACAGACGGACTTCATGTTCAGAAGTTAAAAAATAATCGAGTATCTAATGAAGATAATAAAGTCTCAGCATTAGTCACGAGAAGAGTATGCGGTTCACTCACCCAGATCGCGGCCGGCGCAACTTGTTCAATGTTTTGAGCACAGACTAGAATGAGGGAAGTAAACCAACAACAAACCTCGAAGATACTGTGAACGAAGTGAGTTAGTTCGGAGAACGAAAGAGCAGGCGTCAAGCGCTCATACCTTGCCGGTCTGTTGTGCCGCAGTGTGCGACAAAACCACATGTAAGGTATATAGTACGTGCATGGGCTGGCTCGTAGACTGGGTGGATGTTTATGACAAGTTATGATGTCAATATATAAGCTCTAGATCCAAAGAGCAAGTGCGCGAGCTTCGCACTTGACAGAGTCTTCTTCCGTCGGACGCGCCATGAATGCCGCGCATCGAGGCGGAAAATCTTCCAGACACAGCGTTTAAAGACCGAGCTATGTGATGAAACGTGCAAGCACGGTATATATATCGATTATTATCAAGAGTTGACGTTAATCGAGCACTGAGTACTGTTGAGCTGTGACCTTGGCGCTTGGTCCGGGCATGTCGCTCAATGATGTGATATCTAGACTATGTACCTTATTGCTATCGTGATCATGACGGATAGGTAACGAACCAGACCCCGACTGATTTGAAAGTCCGAACGGTGTCAACTTTAGTAAGTATTACCGGCATCCTTATCCTTCCGACGCTGCTAGGCTATTCGAAGGGCAGTTTGGATTGAGCTCGACAATGCCCCCTACCTGTAATCTACAGCGAGAAACGGCAGAACATGCTCAAGCGGCTCCTGCAGAAGATCTCCGCGCACCCTTTCATCCTTGTCTAAAGATCATATTCGCGCACAGGTCTACACTGCGATACATCATGCCTGCAGGTCTGGCATTGAAATTTTATGACCAGCCTAAACAGCTGAGAACTCTTGGTTTCGCGGACTGTAGACCTGCATTTCATTCCGTATCACAGAAGTCGGACGGAGGCGTGGTCTAGCCCAGGGTCCATCACGGACTTCACTACCTGCTTGTCACCAATCGAGCTTATCAAGAACCATTCAACAAAGTTCTTGTTTGTTCATCCATATGATCGGTGCTTCCTCGAAGTGCCTGACTTTTCAGGCGATAGACCGAGCCCGAATGCCCGATGGACGAGTCCCAGATGGACACTCTGACAAGGTTCGCCTGTAGAAAAAAAGAGCCTCACTCACGAGCATTGCGGTCGCTCGTCTTGGGCAGCCTTTCGGTTCATCTTGCTAGCGCAGCAGAATATTTACAACAGGATCGCGTTGGACCATGACATCATTGTACAAGTCAAAGATATAACTCCGTTGACACATGGATGCCGGGACCATGGACATACTATAGATCCGTGTCATCTCCGTTGCACAATTCACCTACTGCACGAAACGAGACTTCATTTCCAATGATCCTCATCTGTCCCTTGATTTGGGACAAGTAGCAACGAAACGTCAGAAGGTGAATGTTTATTGTGGGTTTCTGTTGTCACGAAGTGTACTTACTCTCGAATGCAAGGCGAGCGTTATTATGGACTTCACAGTGTAAGCAATCTGGAAATGACACCGATCTGCAAAGTTGATGGAAGAGCATCCGTATATCACATCAACTATTTTTGGCTCCGCCTTTCATGCTCATTGGTATGGATAGTCCCCATGGTCGTTTATGCGAGTAATGTGTCTTGGGACGCAAGACTGAAAACACAATTACTTGCGATCATGGCGGAGCTGAAGGAGCAATAATCGATTCAGTTATCTAACGAGCATCTTCCTCGTTTGGCATCTAACCCAACACTTTCAAGACAAATCCAAATGCGCTCGGGATCACGAATCTCGCAAAGGTCGAGGATAGGACCATTGGGCTCTCGCAACCGAACGGTATATGAGAATAGCGCTCAGGTCAACAACTGCACTCTACTTGCTAAATATTGTGCGAGGGTGCGTTGTCTTCCGACCGACGAGTGCGTCAGATATTGACTGTAGTCCTCAGTTGATTCTACTGTGACATGTCGCAAATCTAGGACCCAACCAATCATATCGACTTTCACTTTTATCGTCCGTACGTTGACCCATTTTCTCAAAATGAACGAATGTTCTTCAACCATACCCTGCAGAATGACGTGAATCTGGTCATTGCAGTCTGAATTACACATTCATCTGTCTGTGGGTCAATCTGTGGGATTAACAATGCAATTGACCAGATCTGCAACGTTTACTGTAGCAGAGTTTGTCGGCCCATAATCAATCGAAGCATGCAATTCGTGAACTTATGGTGCACATAACTAGAATGGGATTATCATCGGCACCGGCACTGGTTCGAGGGCGCGTTGAAGTCATGCATAGCTGATCCCCAAATTTCGGCAACCAGCTTTGTAAATCGTGTTATGTATTTGTTGTGCCAATATGATCTGTTGAACCGTCCAAAATGCTTTGCGGTTGTCCCAGTTTTTCAAAACATAAAACATGGCCCGAATGCGGTTTAACCACATACCATGGTGCCGTCCAGTTGTTGTGATGTACTATGCAATTTCACATCGGCATTAGCAGGACATTATTCCGGTGTTGAATATGGGGTACTAGTTTTCGGGCAGAATGGCATAGCAATGGGGAACCTGCGGAGATCCGTGTGGTTCGTTTCGACCCTGTCGTCCGAAATATGCAAGGGTCGCCTTCCATACTGCCCCGAGACCTCCTTTCAAAAGATTAGTAGGTTGTAAGCTGTTGTAAGCCAAAATATCAGTGGTCGCCAGTGTACAAAGGTCGACAAGCCTGTGGGCGTATGATTACTTGGCATCAAAGATATGGCCAAGAGATATGGCCAAGAGATCCATGCGCTTACTCCATACAGCCACTCCAAGCAAACTCCAAGCATCTCCAAGCTATCAACTCAAGTCGGCCGAGGGATAACGACGATCACGGTGCAGACATTACGAGGACGATCGATCACCCGACCTATTAAGAACGAGCCGCTCGGCATCAACGTCCACAATCCATGATGCCGCGCACAAACACTGACGGTGTCCAGGTCAAAGCTGATCATGATAACATACAAAGTTAAAGTTATTACGAAACGCTTTCGACAGCAGCGCGCGCGCAACTGAAGGCCAAGAAAATACGTACGACAAGCCGATTATGAACAATTGCAATGGAATAAGTAATCTGAAACACAAGGTATCAAGGGGCAAGTACTGGTAAGTACCGGTAAGTATCGGTGCTATATAGCGATGTCAACTTTAAGTCACAGTCACAGTGGCGGCTCAGTACATCCTCACACCAATATAGAGATCAAACGCGTGATATCGGTCGCTGACTCGGATGTAGTCCTGCCGCAGGGTGGCAGAAAATGATAGTCCGATCTAAAACCTCGAAGATTTCCTCGAGTCCTAGTGATCGTGATAGATTCATGCTCGAGACAACACCGGCATTTGATGAATATCGGCCATACGGCAACCGTTGGGCAGAATCATGTTCAGATCAAATGTCAAACGCTCGTTGTTCGCATGCGGAGCCATCGGGTGGCACTGTAAATGATTTAGCGTAATCGTCCAACTTGAGTTGTCGTGACTTGATCCTTCGATATGTGTATCATATGTCGCTCGTGCGTCGTAACTAGCAGTAGTACACTGGCTAGCGGTTTTCTGAGAGGTACCAAGCCACAGCAGTAGCACAGTATAATCTGTTCACTGACGGTCAGCAAGTTTGTTGTCTCTCCATCGGCTTACTGAGTCAATTTCACCGTATGTCCCTTCATTCTACGAAATTATGGTATAGGTGCGGACCCAGTGCGGACCCAGGAGTTAAAACGGGTCACAGGAATAATGAACTCCAATCATAAGAGGGAGAAAGAAGAGAGAAGAGGCCCGAAGAAGCATTACTTTCTTTCCAGTCGAAAAGTCAGTTGAACTTGGCTTGATGATCAAACAGATAGTTAAACTTGATTTTGACTAGTGGTATGTCTTTTAACGCCGAAAAGGGTCGTGGCTGTGCAGGAACCGAAATAACGATTTGTGGGGGTCGGATGCCCGTATGTTATAAGCAGGGGGCTGTAATCAATCTATCATCAACTCCCGCCCATCATCATGTCTGAAGACGCTGTTCCAATCCATCCCGTCGCTCCCCGCCTAAAGAATGGCTTGAAAATTCCTCATATCGGTCCTGATCTTGCAGCATATAGGTCCTCTCATGCGGAAACCCTCGGCCACGAATCTGATGCTTGGTGGAGAAAGGCTAGTTCGCATATTCACTTCTTTTTATATCGTGCTTATTGATGGACGCATTAGATGGCCCATACCATGTTACACTGGGACCGTCCATTCCATACTGTGCGGGCTGGTAGTTTTGAAACCGGTGATATCGTCTGGTTCCCAGAAGGCGGTCTTAATGCATCTTACAATTGTGTCGATCGCTGGGCGTTTAAACATCCAAACAAAGTAAATACCACCTTTCTTGTCGAAGTTTCATGATCTTATACTATCTATCAGACCGCTATCATCTACGAGGCCGACGAACCCGATGAAGGCTGCCTCGTCACCTATGCGGAACTGCTCCGTGAGGTCTGCTCTATTGCAAACGTCCTAAAGGCTCTTGGTGTCAAGAAGGGAGATACCGTTTCTGTATATCTGCCAATGACTTGGCAATCGGTTGCTGCTTTCCTCGCTTGCGCGCGGATTGGCGCTATTCACTCTGTAGTATTTGCTGGCTTTAGCGCAGAGTCTCTCCGTGATCGTGTTCAAGACTGCAAGTCGCGCGTCGTCCTTACCAGCGATGAGGGCAGGCGTGGCGGCAAGTCAATTGCAACCAAAGCGATTGTAGATGCCGCTCTCAAGGAATGCCCTATCGTTGAACATGTCCTTGTTCTCAGACGTACCGGTGGCCAGGTGCCATGGGTCGATGGCAGGGACAAGTGGTGGCACGAGGAGACTGCCAAAGTCCCTAATTACTGCCCACCCGAGATCATGTCCTCGGAAGATCCGCTCTTCATTCTTTACGTCAGTGGCTTTCTTTCCATCTGTTTTTACGTATTCTTGATTTCTAACTATGTTTAGACTTCTGGATCTACAGGGAAACCAAAGGGTGTCGTTCACACCACCGGCGGATACCTCCTTTGCGCCGCCCTTACTGTTAAATACGTTTTCGATGTCCACCCAGACGACAAGTTCGCCTGCATGGCTGATATCGGTTGGATTACTGGACATACCTACATCGTTTATGGACCACTCGCAAACGGAGTCAGCACTACCGTCTTTGAATCAACTCCAGTTTACCCCTCGCCATCCCGCTACTGGCAGACCGTCCAGAAGCATCAGCTTACCCAGTTCTATTCTGCTCCTACTGCCATTCGTCTCCTTCGTAGACTCGGCGCTCAACACGTGGAGAACCATGATCTCAGTAGCTTACGTGTCCTTGGCTCTGTTGGTGAGCCTATTAACCCCGAAGCCTGGAACTGGTACAACGAACATGTTGGCAAGAAGCAGTGCGCTATCGTTGATACGTTCTGGTAAGTGAATTCACGAAGTATTTGTGGCCGTGCTCAGTATCCTCTTCAAGGCAAACT